AATATAACTATGTACTTCATAAGATATATTTGTATTAAGGATTTATATTGGTCCTGAAGGGACATTCCTGGACTTCCAAGGGTGGCAGACTTCCAAGTGCTCTTTATCCCTTTGAGATGTGTTTTTTATCTCAATGACGTAATCAACTACGGCGTGAGACTACGAACTCATTTTCCTAAGATCTTTTTTCAAACTTCATGTGACTGAGCTATCGAGCCAGGTGGAGTGATTTAAGGTTCAAGATGGCTGATCCCTGGTGAACGTTCCGGAGCGTTAGACAAGTAGTGATAGAGTTACACCCGTTTGATTTTCAGAGATACGTGGCGTGAGAGTCCCTTCAGGATAATTAATTAATTTCTTAATTAACACCCTTACAACAATTTCACATGAACGTCAGATTCTGTGATGTTTCATATGTGAAAAGAGGGTGACTTCAGCCACAGTTAACAATTACTGGCATCTCCTAGGGATGACGTCAATCTCATTCTTAAAGTAGATTCTACCTGACTTATATTATTGAATTTCACTAACAGTAAATACAATAGAAGCTTTCAACATCAGTCACAAAAAGGATCTTGAACGCTTCATCTGTAATCAGACATCTCTAAGTTGCCAACAGCAGGGTGACGGCAATAACATCAGGCAGAGGTCGTGTTCTGAAGGCTCAGATGGAAGTGACCTCGCCGCCTGTCGCCTTCTAGATGGAGGTCTGGTCTCCGGACAGCAGTGATCAGAGATGGTTTTGGACATAGTTGCTAGGATCCCATGGAATGAAACAACGGTTTGGGTACTCCTGGACACGATCCTGCAGGGAAAGACCAAAGTTCGGTGTAGAAAGTAGAGCGTGTCCCGCACAAGGGCTGGGGATGATCTGAGCAGCTTCTCCTCTGGTCAGCTGAGACAGGTTGACAGCAGTCCGACTAATGACGAGGGCAGGGCAGCGTGATCATTACAAGGAACAATTCAGGCGCATACATAATTGAGAAGGCAGGATTGTAACAAGGGAACCCCTGCACATGATGAGGGCGAGGACGCCAGCATAATAATATAGAGGCCGGGCTTTCAGGGATCTGACAACGATGTTGGAGTTACATACACACCCAGGTATTTTGTCTCCATTAACCCAGTCCAAGGGCGTTCTGATAAGAAAGGGTGGAGGTACAACTTACATCGTGCCACATAGCTTTTGTTTTCACCCAGTTGAAGAAACCAAGTGAATCCACGCCTCTCTGGAACTAGATCAAGGGCTTCCTGCATGCTGAGGTAGTCAGGGCTTGGAGGAGGACATCGTCGGCATATCCTGGTGGACAACTTCTGTCGGCACAGGAAGTGATGTAATGGAGTGCATGAGTGTTAAGCAAAGGTGGGACTGGGACTCACAGCAGGGGTCTCTGAGGTTCATTTCTTGAACAGAGACATAGAGCCTTCTTGAATTTGGGGCTGACGTCCAGTGAGGTAAGGGCGATCCGATAAAGTCTCCTTTAACTAACCGTGCAAGTTCAGCTAAATGAGGCCAGGCTGAGCCATCAAGGCTCCCTTGACCTCAAGACTGGAACGCGGGCAGTCTGATTGCAATAAAAGGAAGCAATGGAGTGTGCTGTGCTGCGATGACAGATGGGAAAACCATTGAGGGTTGTGGAAGCCGCCTATGGGTGTAGAAAGAAGGCGACGATGGAGTATCCTCTCCATCATCTTTACGGCTTTACAGGAGGCCGAAATGTCGTCCCGATATTTCCCAGGATCTCCGGCAGGGATGGGGATAATAGTGGCATTTTTCCAGTTGGACAGGAGAACCCCATGTTATAAGACATATTAGCAGGAAACTTAAGCAAGGCCGTTAAGAATATTAGTACGGGCGTTGAGACGGAGTAAGGTTATCTGATCATCCCAGGAGGTCTTTCTAGAGCGACGAGCACTGTCCAGCTCGAACTGTGTGATGGGATGATCGGTGGGAGGTAAGAGCAGCACGAACAACAGGCTCCAGACGCATCGATGCGAGCGCACACTGCCTCCTGCGTGTGGATCTGGAAGTGCCTCTGGGAAGGAAGCTTCGTGCCCAGTCCTCCATTAAAAAGAGCAGGCAAGGAGGCGGGATCAGGGTGGGGAGGGAGGCCTCCGTCGGAAGTACCCCATGTAGCATTAATCCGATTCCATACATAAGAGGGTGACGACTGGAACAGTAGAGACCCCGTGAAGGATAACCAGTCCGCCTCTCCACACGTATCCGACAGCGCTCCTGAGTTGCAAAGGCACCAATTTTGAAATGTCCCAGTCCTCTGGAGACCGAGACTCCGTATGCTTGGTGAGATCTGGTGCCTGCGGAATGTCTCTTGGCAGGATACGATACCAGTAGTTGGTGGCGCTTCTGGGGTGACAGGGAGGGCGTGGAAGGTGTACTTGATTGACAAGTCATACACGGCATCAGCAAAATCAGCGCTGTAAGTCCGGGGACTGAGGGACAACATAGGAATCCGCCAGGTAGAAGGTGTTATTGGGTAAAGGAACGGCATCTTGTTGGCGTGAGAGACGAGGCGAGGGGATCGATAAGGAGAGTTGATGTCGGGGCGAGAAGAGAGCCTGAGATGGGTAATGCTTAGATGGTGCGCTATACAGAGCAGGCTAAGGCAGACAGTGGGATGAAAGGTATGACCGTTCAATAGTAAGCATCAAGGAAACTATGGGGGAGGCGAAGTAGGATCGTCGGGGCAAAAGAAAGCGAACATCATCATCCCCCATTAAGAAACTGGAAGATGTGATCCATTAAGAATTCAGGATGATCCGGAGTAAGAGTGGGATGGCGGGCATTAAAGTCGCCAAGAACAATAGTGGGAACATCATGGAGGTCGTGAAGAACCTAGGGGTCAGAGAATTACTCTTAAATGAACGATGACTACACAGAAGGTCGGTGCCCAAGTAGGGAGACAATGTTCAGACGGGGGTCCATGGAGTCAGGTGAGACGAACAGATGGAATGAATTGATACACACAAGGGGTGAGGCCACCAGAGCCTGCCCCGGTACCGGGCCAAGTGTAAACAGAATAACCAGAGAGGCGGAATTAGATGTAACATCGTCATAATGATGGATTTCCTGAGTAAACAACATCTGTGATGGGAGAAACTTTCAAACTGGGCAGGTCTGTCAGCAGATCCTAAGTCCACTGGATGTTCAATTTGTAAGAGGAGGGAACAGCCTCCGGTGTGAATGAGTCAGGAGGCCTGGGTGGGGCTCCCAGAGGGTACCAAATTCTGTTGAGAGAAGCCAGGGGGAGGTGGGAGAGCGAGGATGGATGCCTCCATCTCCGGGAGCCAGGAAGGCGGGTCATCAGGGCTTGCAAAGCGCGCCCCTGTTGGGTCAGGGTGTCAGAATAGGTTGTTGCTTCTGCAATGTCACCAATTGTTTTCTATTCACAGTCAGAGTTAGATTTGAGAGGTTGATTTAGCAGGTAGCGATCCAGACGGAGTGATTGTTTCCATAGAACCAACGGGTGTACCTGTGCATGAGCTGGAGGTGGCAGAGTTGCCGGGGCCCGACTGGGCATGTGGTAGTGTGCTGACTGAGATGGTGGGGTTCAATTAGTCAGAGGTGGTGGTGCTGGTGAGAGACAGCACAGGTCCGGTAGGCAAGGAGATGGGTGGCTGACTGTGTGTGGCAGGGCCAGCAGCAATGTGTTTAAGAACAGTAGGGAGAGGAGGGAGGAGAAAGGATGGGTGGTAGGGGTGATGGAGGGGTGGTAGAGGAATCCATTGGGGAAATCCTTGGTGGATGGAAGGCGGTGGTGGATGAATTGAGGTTTGGTTGACAGAGCTACGTCAGAAGACGAGGGCGATGGTACAGGTAAAGTTTTCCCCGGGCGAGTGCCAGGACGCGGGCAGTGTTCCAGGCATTGGTGACTGCCATGGCAATTGACCTTTCCGATGGAACAACTGGGATTTTGTTCTGAATTTTTCGATTTGCATTCCTGTGTCGTGAGGACCTGCACAGAAGCCGCAGGCAGCTACATCCTCGTGCCTCCAGGTGCAGTCGTCATTTCCCACGATTGCTTGACCACAGATTTTCGAAGTTCCGATAAATCGGTCAGGAACTTAGTTAATGATTGATACCATTACCTTCAGGGAGGCCCCACCACCAGCCGATGAGTTCGTTGGATGACGGATGTTTGAGACCGGGTTGATGCAGCGTTCCATGTCAGTAGTTGTGGGAGAAGAGGGCGAATCGTCGATAGGGATCTCCCAGGTGCGTGGCGAACCATGCCTTGGTACGACGAGTTTTGGGGTGATGGTGAACTCGGCATCACCTCCCCCTGCCGAGGGGCAAGCCCACCTGGGTGGCAGGGCGTACCGTCTCATCCATGGTGTTTATCACAGCTATGGGACCCTCGGCAGGCAGGTGGTGGGATCTGGATGATGACGGAAGAACAGGGTAGTCATTGTGTAAAACAGAAGTCAAGGAAAAGCAGCAGAACGAAGCAAACTGGTAGAACAGAGAACAAAGGAATCTGTCCATCGTAATGGAGGTCAGTCATTAGTACATGCCGTCGCCGGGGACTGAGCAGAGTCCACCTCTACAGCCCCAGAAGGGGTGCAAGAAACCAAATGACTACTGAAACCCTGACTTCTGAGGGTTTCTCTTCTTCTTTGACGTGTCTTCCAAGAAGAAGTCATCAACCTGTCACCTACCGCCGTTTCCAACGAACAGGGCGTTTAACGGCAGACACTATAGGTTAGCAACTTACTGCAGTCAGGTGTGATAATGTAATGACGTCACACTATCACTGCACGTAACAAACTTAAACTTTAACCAGAGGATCGGGTGGTAGGACCACAGATGTTTTTATCCTAAAAAATATAAAGAATCCAAAGTAACTCATATGTACACTGTGCTGATATCTGGGTCTTACTCTAGTTATTCTGCTGCACAGGCTGGGAACAATGAGCAACACCTGAATTCGTCAAAGAAATACGAATTTTAAGGGTGATCTTTGGCACATTTGTTACTACGCACGCATGCTGATTTTCATATATATATATATATATATATATAACCGGAATATACTTCCACTGAAAAACGGCAGTAGGACGCCACCCTCCGGGAAGCGCCACATTATCTTCACCGTGCTGACTGTTACGCTCCGCCTATGCTGGACAGCTCCAGTCCTCCAGCAGTACCTGGGCTGCAGTGCTGTACAATACCACCCAATTCCGTCATTGTGATAGCGACCAGCTCGTTGAAACTCTTCAGTCACAGCCATGACGGTACGTGTCAACCAGGGTGGTGTAGAGAGGCGTCGGCGTTCAAATGATGAATCAAAGTGTCCGTGTGGACATCAAAATATTCCAACATGAAACTGTTAATTCCTAACAAATATTGGTAACAATATATATGACTCTATTTAACTACGCAAAAATAACACCATGAGTCTTATATGCAAACAAGACATACCAATTAATAAATCTTTATTATCTAATAATATAAATAGTATGATATTATTATATATATTAAATTTATTATATATAAGAGGAAGAATAATGTTAATTAATGTTATTACAAAATATTTTGGTTGGTGGACCATTGTGAGAAGGTAACTAATGTAGATAGATAAACGATAGTCTGAAGTGGTTTATATACTCACTGTAGCTATATAAACAATGTATATAGAGAGTGGTCTGTAACAATATGGGTATACAATGTACGTTCATATACAGAATTGGTATACATCATTACATAAAAAGTATACATGTAAAGCCTAATACTGTACACTGTATAAGTACGATACTATATACACTGGAATTAAATACCTACAATGGTATGTATACTTGTAGGTACATAAACAATTAATACATAGTGTATAGGTACACAGTGTATATGTACTCTGTATGTATACTAACACTTTATGTATATTAAATACCAGCTGTGTATATATATATACCTATAATGTTATATGTATTGTAAAAAAAAAAAAAAAAAAAAAAAAAAAAAAAAAAAAAAAAAAAAAAAAAAAAAAAAAAAAAAAAAAAAAAAAAAAAAAAAAAAAAAAAAAAAAAAAAAAAAAAAAAAAAAAAAAAACAAAAAATTGAACATAATATATTATATATATACATATATATATACATATATACATGAAATATATAAACATATATAATATATATATACATACATATTACCCTTCACAATACGTCCCACCAACCAAAATATTTTATAATAACATTAATTAACATTAATCTTCCTCCTAATAAATATTTAACATATAATAATATAA